AWWAAAAAWWKWAWTKRWTTTWAWTRAAAAMCYTKGCARGTTTAGAAATATTWTTATYCGTTGCTTTTTTTCGTTTAAGGACCCGTGCAACAGTCATCCGTGCCAAAATGGCGGGAAATGTGYCGTCATGGTGGGAGCAAKTGACTTTACTTGCACCTGTACAACACGGTTTACTGGAAGATTCTGCGAATTAGGTTTGTCACGCTTTGTTTGGAGTCAGATTTTTTATGACTGTGATACGTCACGCAAACAACTGAGGCCTGTCACGTTACGGAATTGATAACTTTTTTGAACCAATCACACACAAGTGGTCTCTGCTTAGCCAATTAAAATGTTAGGACATGTCGACGTGACAGTCACGGCGCTCATGCACGTTTGTCTGTAGTTTTTTCACAGCCGTGTAAAATGTGCTTTACCAAGAGAAAATGAACTAAGAGAAGGAATCGGCGCGCCCCATCATGAGTACTCTTTGATGCTATTTTTAGAATCAGATTCTATTTTCGGAATCATTCATTTGATGTTTCCTTTTCTGCACGCGCGTGCTCTACCCTGTTTGCTCCTGTTTTCATGCGTTTTTCAGGAAAGAAAAAAAACGTGAGCAAACAGCGTAGAGCGCGTGCAGTATGCGCTTGCAGAAAAACAAACGATGACAAATGTGATTCTAAAAATAGCATCAAACGGTTCCTATGATGRTTACAAGCATGAATACCAGAGATTCCTTCTCTTAGTTCATTTTCTCTTGGCTTTACTTATTGCATTAGTGCATTGGGAAAGAAGGTTACAGCGTAACAGAAAGAATAGCAAGGGCGGATCCAGGGGGAGGGTCGGGGGGGTCGCGACCCCCCATGTCATTCCTGAGGTCAAATGGGCCTTCTGTGGTAAAAAATTTCTTTGCCCACAAAATTTACCCCAGAGACCCCCCCTTCAAAAAAACCCTGGATCCGCCCTTGAATAGATAAAAAGAATCCAGATTTTACGAACCCAATCTATTTCCCATACTATAATCATGAATTCATTGTATACAGCTATTTCAAAAACCAAGGGATTTCAATACATTGGTATTGTAATTTGTTCAAGATGCGCATTCTTTACATTACWGTCGCCCTTTGCGAACGATATGTATTTCCTCTTAAACGAGGCTAATTMTGTATCATTTAGTCTGTAATCAAATATCATAGCATTATCTATTGAATAAGAAGGTTTTTTCTTATCAACACTGAAAAACTGGATAAAATGAAATATAAAATACCAACTAGATTGTTTTAGGAGATCCAWACGTTTTCTTTTCCAAAGGAATAARAAAATTAAGACGTTAACAAAATAAAATAGGCCGTTTGCATGATGGCGTCATTTGACTCCCACTACCATAATGCTTCGCAAATTTTCTTATTTAAATTTGCATTCCCTCATGAGAATAGTAAGACARTTGGTGCTAATTAACTGAACAAAAGAAAGCGTGCAAGGGAGTCTGGTAGTAGAGGTCAATGACGCCAAAATACAAACATCACATTTGGAAGCAACATTTTTCAAATGCGATTTTTACGTCATTTCTGGTCGCCTTTTATTTTATTGACCCGGTTTTCAGTTATAATCAATCACATTTTGAACCATTCATATATTCATATCAGATAACTGCACCAAAATCAATACCAATCCTGTTGGTTTTGGGGCCCGTGATAACAGATACGGCTCATTTTCCGTCCAGCGGACTGGTGTGTGTATCCAAATCAAGCTGGTCCACCGATGGGGTTTCTTGACATGCAATACGAGTGATCCAAATGGAAAGAATTACTGGGGATGCTTTGAAAATGGGCATCACGCATWCCTGTCCGTGGTTATCACCGATAATGGTAACAAAGTTCTACTACCGAGTTCATTCCCCTTTCCAGGSACGCATGCGTATAACCTCCCAGGTGTGACTGCATTATCTAAGGAGCTGGTCTTTCCAGAAGTACCYGGACTGTTTCCCGTCACGTCTGGCCAAAACTACCGTATTTGGTTTGGTCAAGACTTAGATGACTTTTCAGAGTCCGACAATTATGGGTCTACCTATGCTGACGTTTACTGCCTTTATCAATGAGCAAGATGTCACTTGATCGTATCTTTCGGGTTCTAAAGAAAAACGTTTGTGCATGCGCGCGTTCCAATAGTTTTTCAATATCGTTCCCAGACCCTTATTTCATACTGCGCATGCTCGACGAAATAATTCGACAATTACTGATTCAAGTGCATATAAGTGAGAATAGTGAGGTTTTTTTTTTTTTTTTCTAAATATACAAACGAAGAATTAGCCTTAATTTCAAGAGTTGTCTTTAATRAATGATACTTATTCGTTTGTCTCACTATTGCTGAGGGTAGTTATTTGGCAAAGACTGTGGCGTTTCGACGTGACGACAAGCTGCTAATCTTCATTAGGCGATGTTCTAGACTGTCTTCAATTTATCTAAAGTCTATTTAAAAGACAAGTTTGAAAGTCAAACTTGCATACTCAATAGCACGAAGCCGTTTTGGATTAATTTGCATAGATAATGGAGCATGCGCAAACGTTTTTCACTCGTTTTAAAATTTCATATACGCACAGTGAAATAAGAGAACCTCTTGTGTCAAGAAAAAACAAAAATWAAGCAATCAATAAAAACAGGAAGAAGGTCTTAAAGCGATTCAATAATAGGTCACTTGCATCATAGCGGCGTTATTTACTACCACCACCACCAGACTCCTTTGCACATTTTCTTTTGTTCAGTTMATTAGCACCAATTGTCTTACTATTCTCATGAGGGAATACAAATCCGAATAAGAAAGAAAATTCACGAAGCATTTTGGTAGTGGTAGTAACATGACGCCATCATGCAAACCATGTAATATTTGATATTTGCTACACGCCGATTCGAAATATGGCCACCAAGCAATTTGAATAACTGTTGTCCTGGACTGACTTGCCTCGTGTTCACGTGGAAACATAAAAGCTTTTTCACATGTATGAGAGGCTAGTCAGTCAAGAACAATAGTTGTTCAATTTTGTCGCCATATTTCGATTCGATATATTTTTTGTGCTTTTCCAAAATTCTCATTCGTTTGGCAAAGTTTGGCAACCAATCGATCAATTTAAAAATTTAGGGTAAGCTTTATTTTATGACATTAGATATCGTATTTTCACATGCTCGTCCGATGTAAACAGGATTCGCATAAGACAGGTGCACTCGTATCATTTAAATTCGTATTAACTTAATAAATTACATTGAAACCCAAATTTTAAAATACGTGGACTGATATAATTGACTTCGTCAAATCTTAAATCAGGACAGTATTAGAAATCTTAATGTTCCTAACTAATATGATTTATATAACCAAATGAGTTTTAAAAATTGGATTAAGGTTGRTCCACTGACTTATGCAGTTGATGCCAATTAACTTCGCCAGCTTGTCAATGATTTAGCCAACGCTGCTTGTCTTACTAGTTAGTGACTTGTCATTGTGTCTTTTATCGGCATTAGTTAAAAGCATAMTTATGAGGTCGCAACTTCAATTTTTAAGAGAACTCATTAAAAATTAATGAAAGAATAACTTTTAGTTGACAATTTTTTGACTTTAAACATGCTTTTGAATTGAATTCAGCGGGGATCTTTAGGAACGTTTCTTATGGAGTTACATGATAAAACCATGTGGGTGCATCATTCACTCRGGGAAGTCAGGTTGTCATGGTATAGTAAACACTCGCCTTTAGCCTCCTCGGTGAGGGGTTCGATTCCCAGTCGTTCTTGCTGAGTTGATTGGTTCCTTTTCTGACTSCGAGGGTATTTCTTCCCSCTTTYCRGTTTTTCCTCCCTCCTGTCAAAGCAACCCTAACTAAATCAAACTTAGAGCTGTGCTCGCTCYGGGGTCATACGTGGACTGTATAGCGGCTGCCAGAGGCGCCTTCATATCTTTCAGTTGGACCTCGTTGAGCTGCGCCACTGCTGTACTGGTGGTGGTGACTAGCTAAAAAACACAGTTTTWATTTGGTGGCGTTGAAGCTCCGAAAAGGTTTTTTTCGGGTCAAACCAAACCGAGTGTCCAAATAACTTTCAACTAAGACCTATATTGGATCCTCTATTTCAATATGGCTTCCATCTTTGAAGGGTTCACCACACAACTTTTTCGTAGTCGTCGTCGAAAGATATTTCGACTTCGTAGGCCGGAAACTCGTTGCAGACTCCATCTCTTTATCAATGATCACACTCAACTGCTCACCCTGGGAGTCGTTTGAAGGATGATGCTGACATTTCAAATGGGCGAAGAAATTCCTAAAGACCTGGCCAAAGTCTTTGTTAAGGGTGCCGTAGACTATCGGGTTGAGAGCGCAGTTGGCCATTGTAAATACGTTGGAGAGTCGAAAAATATACATTTTGTAGCTCAGATAGTTAAGGTTACCATATGTCATCCAGAAATATATTATATGTTGAGGAAGCATGCATACTGAATAGAGCAAAACCAACCCTACCAACATGTTGGCGATTTTGGTGCTCTGTTTCATACGTTGACGAACCGCCATCGTCTCTACCTGGGAAAAACGTCTCTTTTTGAAAAAATCATTTTGTTTTAGTTTATTGGCAGTAATCACAGACAATGCTGCTATGATTATCAGTGGAATAATGTACTGGATGACAAAAATGGAAATCCAGTAAATCTGTTCATAAGGCGTGTTTTCGGGCCATATCTCAGAGCAATAGAGCTGTCCATTTGGGTAGCGATCCGTCCCTGCTACGAACAGCAAAGGTAGAATTAAAAGGAACGAGACGATCCATATCACCGCAATGATGATCTTGACGTTTTTTAAAGTYAGTCTCGGCCTGAGTGGATGGGCGATGGCTCGGTACCTATCACATGATATGGCCAGAAGACTTCCAATAGACGATGACAGACAAAGAGGAATGATATCGTAAGCTACTTGGCACATAAAGTTTCCCAATGGCCAATTGTGGTCGTTCTCRAATGCAGCCATTTGTGTCGGTACGTAAATCCCTACCACAATTAAATCTGCTAAAGCCAAATTTAAAGTGAATAAATTGTTGCTGGTTCGCATTCTCTTGCGTCGAATGATGGCACAACAGACTACGAAGTTGCCAACAATTCCAATCAGGAAAACMGCAATGTAAATCAAGCGAAGAGACCATCGCAGCGGAGGTGGTTCAACCAACCCCACAGGGTGGCTTTGATTGTTCAACAATGACCCATTCTTTGTTCTCATAGACATGCTGGAGAAAGCTTGGTCGAGAATCTTTCTACGCTTCTCAAAAGTGCCTSCGTTTCAATGAGTGCAAAAACATCAAGGTTTACAGGTCCTGCTATAAACTCTTCACCATTTTCGACAGGTTGTGCCAGCAATAAAATATTTAAAGGTCTATTTCCAGTTCTGTAGGAGCTCGTGCCCAAATCCATTCGCCATCCATCACAGCAGAGAGTCAGACTACGTAGCTAGCGTGTCGGTGTATTTCTTCGTTGTTTTTCATGAGCTAATTTCCCAAGTAAGTGGCAGTTGCCTCGATGTTATTGCATCTTAATTGGCAGTCGACAAATCATGGTTTTCCTGTCTGTCAACCAGGAATACTTTTCACACGAGCTGTATACTTAACAATTACTAGATATCATCCACGCACACCGCCAGTAATGAGAAGCCAAATCGGGATCTTGAAAATCATTAACAGTCGTCGCCTCCCCAAAACTTTATGATTGAAATATTTGCTCTCGTAAAGAAATWTTTTTTTGAAACAATCATTTTACGGCTTCGGTGCCTACTGTGTTGTGTGAATAATACTCAAGGTAGACTTCGCGGCGTGAGGCTTTTTTCTTTCACAATTATCAAACGTCTAACGCATTGAATTGAAATTGAACTAGTGCTTAAAAAAGTGTCCTATATTTTGTAAATTGTCTTTATACTTATAACAAATGATGTCAACGTCTCAGTGACCGAAATAACAATAAACCAAAAATGTCTTTCACTAAACCCAAAAAACTCATCATTTTATAAGATAACCAGAGCCGAACTTTGATTAGGATGAGCGGCGCTTCGTACTGATTGAGCTGAGATTAAACAATATTCAGTGTAATGAAAAAGGTCTAATTACTATTTAAATGATCGATGTTCAAACCAATTAAACATTGAACGAATGAAATACTCCGGGCTTTAACTCTGTTGGCCTAGGCAAAACGATAACTAAATATAGAATACCAAAATAAATATAACTAACTTGGGCCAATAAAAAACTGAATTCTTTCAAACAAAAGATATTTTTCATAAAATGAAAAATTTTAACAAAATTATTTTCCAAATCTACTTCATTTTCTTTCTGATATTAAAATTATCACTTGTCTGGAATTATTGGAAAATTTATTTTAGCCGATTTAGCGAGTTATTTTTCATTTTCACGCTTTTCCTGGAAAATTAATATACACGGGAAACTTAGAAGGTTTTCTTTTGGAGTTGAAGTTGTAATAAAAACGGGATATGAAATGTCATATCTCCATTGCTCAGATTTTCTCGAGTGACGTGGCTCCAAAAAGTTTACCTCCTCGAAGAAATTGTTTCAATTGCAGCGTTGATAATCGCAGTTTGAGAAACGATCACCCGTTACGACAAAACCGCCCTTCGTCAAAAATTCTGTATATCTGTATTTCTTATCCTTGAAAARTAAGATTTCGCACTTAATTCATTAAGTGAATGACTTTAGGCGCCTTATGAGCGCGCATTTTTTTTGTTCTTCTAAATGGATTACATCTGTTGGTAATTTATAGACAAGAGGGATATTTTTATTTTCGCAAAGATTAGAATATTTAAGAGCGTTAACGTTCACGTAAGTCAAAATAATTCGGAAATATAGGCAAAATCAATCACGCGAACCAAGATTCAATCAAAAATCGAGGCTTTTCCCAAGTCACAAATACAAAACATTCAGTATACATTCATTAATTCCCTCAAACATATATACAATTTGTTTAATTATTTAGTAACATCTTTTGATATTACTTGAGTGCTAGGTTTTTAATACGCGATGTGGTTTTCTCTCGTATATTGTGGTTTCTCAATTTAGGTTTCGAACGAATCGAAAATGAATTTTTTTTGGAAAAGGAGCTATTATTTTTGGGTGTATTCGTGAGGTTTGTTCTTTTCTTTTTCCTTTTCTTTTTGCATTTCATATCCTTTTTGAATTAATAAATGAGCAAGTTTCTTTGTTTCTCAGAATTTTGGAGAGAAAAATCGGAGATGAAAATTGACCATCTTCAGGCCTTTTTATTTTGGACGAAAGAATTTATTTAATACATAATTCCAAACCGCTTTGAAATAATRTGTTTTGCTTGAATTATCCATGGAGACGATGATTTCCTGGCATTATTAGAAAATACGTAAATGATACTGGAGGGGATGAAGCGTGGTCTAAAATTAATAGAAAAACGAAACGCCCAAGATAACTTGCTCTACTCTGATCAGGGATTAAAGGAATGATATGGCCTACATGGTATCTTGGGAATGACCGTCAGACTTCAAGTACTTTTTCTTGACTACTTGAACATGCGCATCGACGACATTGGGTTTTACCTTTTTAGAATTGAATAAACCTCAGATTGCTTTGGATAACATTTAAACTGACGGAGTTTGTGAAGGACGGAAAGACGAACTTCTGGTCGGCTGAACTGAAAATGACCAACACTCCATCTTCCTTGTGTGATAAAAACTCYATAGTGGGCTTTGCAACAGCACCATATTTGTTACACGAATCAAAAGAACTTCCGGAAAAAAATATGAGCCGTCTCACACTAATAAGTAAACGACCGTGCAAAGGGAGTCCCAAATCCTCGTCTTTTTTCCTCTCCAGCCTCCTCTCCTTCCCTTTCCTTTCCCTCTGCACAACCGCTAATCACGCAAGCCCGCCGGATAAAGTTCCGCCTGTTGAATACCGCCTCTAAGACACAAAATATTCATTTGGAATATTCAATAGCCATGTAACTAGATTTWAAAAATGTTTTGTCTACCATCAGTATTGTAAAATGGCGGAGTATTTTGACACACTGGCGCTGCGGGATGTGGAGGCACTCGCGGTGAAGTGATTGAAATTAATTTTACAACTAGCTATTGAAGTAACTTTTATTGAGACTCGTGTGGCAATTGTGTGTCATATACAGCTATTTTAAAAACKGTTATTGTAGGTTTTGCTGCATGCTGCTTACCAAGCCCGCATTGCACTATGTGATTGCAATCAGCARAAAGCCGTGTCACAACAACCYCYAACTTTGTTTACATATTTTACCTCCATAGTTTCTTATTTGCTGACATTACTGACATTAMTGATGCTTCGGCTAGAACATTTTCTCGCGTAATTCGTACACCCAAGGGCAGAACGGATTTAATCGCCGTCAGGTCCGAAGTCCATACKTTGCCTCAGCTCTGCGGATGTCTCGGGGGTATGACACAGTGGAATCGCAGAATCGCATTTTTTAATGTATTTCGGTGGGTTCGAATTTCATCKTATCCAGATAATATYATCTATTTTTTAGAAATCATGTTAYCTTGAATTTGGCACATGCTTATATACTTTTCAGTGTTACATTTCTACCTTAGATCTTTTTTGTTCATTTCCATTGGAAAACACTCTCGATAGGAAAAATCAGCCAGGGGAATTTGAAATGTTCAGGATAATTCTTAACACCTCCTTAAAGTCATGCAAAAAATACGAACCCTCCTAAGGAAGGCTTGTAGCTTCTTTCAAAAATTGTGCATCCCCCCCCCCCTCCATTTTCCTGGTAAAAATTAGCCCATCCCCTCCTTTTTCCTACCAAAATTTTCCCGATCCTCTCTCAATTTCACCTGCCCTCCCCCCCACCTCTGCAATACCATGAACGCAGCCTTACGAGAGCTTTTACTCCACTTGCTTTCGGGTCTCGGTATTTTCTCTGGCTCTCCATGCATGGAAACAAATAAATTGTTGTTCTGATAGCCTATTTACAATGCAAGTTGTAGTAAATAGGCTATCAGTATTTCCGTGTTTAAATGGTACTGCGACTACTGCATGTCTACCGAAAGGGGCCGGCATTTCCCAGTCCCCACGCACCAATAAGCACCCAACCCCTAACTCCTTTCTGACCATGCCAAAAGAAAAAAATCAAATTCTAAGTACCACGAAGAAAGTCGTTAGTAATTTGTGCCGAGGAAGGACAAACATGTCAAGACAAACATGCTGAATCTATTAAGTTTAGGAGCATCGCTTAAGAAATCGTCGAAAATTAAGCCAAACTTCCCACTGTCCTCAGTCCCAATCGGCAAACGGCGCGCGCAGTTCAAGACTAGCTTCAASCAAACCTCTCCGAGACGCACAGAGCGCTGAATAAACTTCCTCGCTCGCTATTTTATTCTGTTGCAAACTCGGATTCAAATAATGCATTTCAGGAAAGCCATTGTAACCGGAAGTGCACTATTTGAATTCGAGTTTGCAACGAAAAAGAAAGGCGAGCAAGACTTGGAGCAAGTCTTGAATGAGGTCGACCTTCGTTTAGCGCGTGACTGGTTGGGCTGCCTGTGCTTTATTCAGCGCTGGTACCGGYTAATRCCAAGACGAAGGACTTTRCGAAAGTTTACGACTCGTCTCAAATGCAGCAACTTGTGTAACATGCAGCAACTAGTTTCTTGGGGCCTGTAAATAATAAAATCAATAATAATAAGAAACTAATAATGATAAAAAGCAAATAATTATTATTACAATAATTWAATAATAAGAAAAAGCATATTACTTTACACGAAGTTAGTATTTTATGATAAAAATAATAAAAATAAACATGAAGTTAATAGAATGCAAATAACCTATATAATGAGTGACGAGTTTGGTAATTTTGTTTTTTYGCGGCTTTAATTTTCTTGCAAACGCATGGTAACCTGTTGGATTGAAGAGTTCTATTGGCTCAATGACCTGCAAATACCAGTTTTTCCGGTTTCAAAATATATTTTCATCTGACGTCATTTACGAAATACTTCGCTCAAAATTCCTTTCAAAACGACTTTTTAATATAGAGCGCCATTTCTTAGTCTTAACGTCGCCAAGTGTTTTAAAAAGATAGTGTACCAGCAAAATCTCGAATATCGAGTTGGTTACGTTTTATCTCGTATCTTTTATYCCGGAAGTGAATTAACCGGATGTAGTCACTCCTTATCATGGTCAAYGGCGTGTTGTGATTGGTGGACGAGTGTAATATATCCCAGGGTTCCATGGGGTAGTGTGGTGGACTCGGCGGCCATGTTTTTCCTGTAGTAAAGTTTGCTCGCAGTACATCGCATATTTATCAGGCAAAGGAGTTTAAATAAACAGCTCCTTTCTTGACGGTAAAAACCGCTTATCTCTCTACAGCACGGAATTATGACCACTGTCGCAGCCCTGGCTGGACTGGCCTCGGGAACCAAGGTAAGGGGCTCTAATGCGCATCTGAAAAAACACGCACATGTGATAACATTTTGCAGGCAGCGAAAAAGGCAGCAACGGTCCTAACTCGTCTTTTACCAGTAAATTAAATGCCTTTTAACTCTGACTGAATAGCTTTTGTGTGTGGAAGAAGTGGATTACTTGTAATTTCAAGATAAGGGTATCTAGTTTATCTCTTAAAACCGTTTCATAAAGTTTTTCGCTTTGTTTTTATTGGACTTTCTGCGATCGTCTTCTCGCCGCTTCACCTTCAAGGAGCTGGCTTACCGCYAGTGTTAACCTCTTAAACCTCAATTTTAGACACCCGAAGAAGGGGATTTAAGATTGCAGTATAATAAGTATTCTTCTTCTTAGCAAGTTTTCTAATTAGCACATGTAAACTTCCGTCTGTTTTGCAAAATCTCCACGTCTTACTAGTATCCTCAGTTGAATTTGCTAATAATTGCGATCTTTAAAAAATCATGTTTTGCACCTCAACTTCTTTATGTTGTGATTGGAAACCAAGTTTAAATAGCCGTTATACTTAAACAGACTTATATTTTTAGGATCCAAGGTAAAATAATTTTTATCGTGGCTTTTTAAATTCTTCATCTTTCTCGCTATGGTTAATCAACGTGGCATATTTTAGGGACCAGCAAGTTGTCCTGGTGAACAAGAAAATAATACTTTGCGTTGTTTTTTACCCTAAAACTTCGTATCCAACCTATAACTCAGCATTTGAATCTCAAAATCATGATAGTTTTAGATTTATGGCTCTTATTCGCTAGTGTTTTCGTAAATATTGGGCTCGTGGGATTCAAAAATTCTTTAGGCAAACTTTAGTTACCTAGACGCTGGAGTTCTACTTATGACTAATTACCTTATATTTGCATAAATATTTAATTGAGAATACCTTTTGTGCCCCATTTTACTGAATATAATCCTCGATTATTACACCTAAGGATAAAATTAAGATTTGAGTAGCATTTTTTAGTTTTTACAGATTATTTTTGTGTTTTATGAATTTGTTATCGAAGTTTGACTCCTGCATAAACAAGTTGTCTTGAATATAACCAAGAACTGTGTAGTGCAGATATCGGCTGCATTGACAAAGCAAAAAATATCAATAATCTTAATTTCAAAAAAACATCATTTGAACTTTTCTTTGTAGGATGCACAGTTTATATTTTCTTGCTACAGTGGAAGCTTTAGGCATTCCTTTGGAAAGGATTATGCTCTCATTTTATATAACATATCTACATATTTGTATGTAAATGATCTGCTTTCTGTTTTGTAAAAATTCGTGTTATTGGCTCAGATCCAGTCATGCAAAATTATGAGACATCATAATGATTTGTTTTCAAAACGTTATTTGTGAAGCCTGGAATGCTAAGTCCAAACAAAGCTGGTTTTTTAAAGAAACTTTTGTTTCTTCAAAAATTAAACAGTCCAAAATGATTGCTCTTACAGAGGTGCTTTGAAGTGGAAAGATATTAATCTAGCTAGATTCTTTACCTTGGTTTTATTTCAAGTGCTCTCAAAACTGTATCTCTAGGTTTGTGTCCACCCTTGCCATTGAATCGCTTTCTGGTTTTTTATCTTTCTGTTCGCAGTTGTTTAGTACCCATACAATTACTGTACCATCTGTGAAAGAAATCATGCACAAGAGATGACAAATTTCCAAATGCTATGAATGAAATTAGATCATATTTTGTTAAATAAACAATATGTCAGTATTCTTTCATTTGTAGCTTACTAATTAGCCTACTAACTTGTTTTCTGAATAAGATTTGCAAAAAATCAAAATGATTCTGTAACTGATCTTTATTTATGTTCATATATTAAAAAGTATCAGCTAAAGAAATATATAAACAATGACTTTTGTATACATTCCAATTAACCATGTTTGAAGGAACAAATGATAATATTTGAAGCCTTAATCCTCCTTTAAGCAAGATATCAAAAATTCTGTTGTCCAGTGCTCGTGAGCTGGTGGACTTTAAGACACTTTTGTAAAAATTCCTTTTTCAAAACTATATTTCAATTTCTAGGCATTATTGAATGTTTCTTTAATATGTCTGTTTCATTAGCATTGTAGAATATCTGAACTAAGATCTAGACAACCCAGTATTGGCCATTAGTTCACTAAGAGTCTCCTGTAACTCAGTGGCAGGAGTATGATTAGTATGATAACGACTGCATAGTTTTTGTCTGGGTGAAACAAGGCATGAAAACAGAGACAAGCACTACTGTATGTGCACTCTCCCAACCTATTTGGATAATACATTTAAACCTATAGATAATTTCTTCTAAATAGAGTTACTACAAACAAAATAGAATATGAACCTCTTCGCAAGTTTAAACTATCCTGTTTCATAATGTACCCCATGGATTTAAAGTAATATTTTGCACTAAGTTTTTCAGACCAAATTTTTAATCCAAAAATGCCGTTGCCACTTTTAAAATTATCTATGAATGTTTTACAATACTTCCTAAGATTTTAATTTTTTAAGAATTAATTATTTGATTATTATTAGGCTTGCGAATAGTGAGTATTTTGTCCTGTTAGAAATTAATGGTGTTTTCTGATTCCTTTAGCGGTCAGCTGACGACATTATTTCAAGTATGGCTGGTGAGTACTTATTGTTTTTACATTCTACTTGCATTATGGCATCATTTTCTCCAATACCCAGGACTACAAGTAATGTGTGGTTGGTTGCCAGTCAATAGTTTTGGCTCCGTCTTACCTTATTTTTAGCTAAACTTTACTGGTTAAAATGACCAGCAAGAAAAAGATTTGACCAGAAAAGTTCCTGTTCTGGCTGGACATTGTCTAATAAGCAGCCTATATTTTAATCCCTGAATGAATACTAAATTCTTCTCTTGCATGATATTTCATGATAGATACTTATTAAACTTGCTATTAAATATTATTACTGATAATTAATATTTACAATATTTTATCCATTCCAGGGATTTCAAATGATCAGAAAAAGGTAAAGCAACATTAATTTATTTGTTAAGAAAAGTGAATATCTAAAGTTCTCTGATGGTCAGAAAAAGCCATCAAGCAATTCTTGTCTAAAATCGTATAAAGAAATCTATTGAAAAAAACCTTTGTGAATTACCAATTTCCTTACCTCGTATACTTATTGTATCCCTACAGTCTATCTTTTGCCCTATTGTGTATACCATATTTTTTGTATTTCATTTAAGAAAACTGTATGTTTTTTCCAGGCACGAATAGATAATACAAATCCCCCTTCTAAGGTTCTACATTTGCGTAATGTTCCCTCCGATGCGTCTGATGCTGAGGTAATATTATTTTGAATTATTATACATTACATGTAGGTTATTTGATTATTATGTACAGTATTTCATTTATTATATTTTTTTATGTGATTGCTACCCCCCCCCCCCCCCAAAACATTTACATCCATGACCTTGAGTACTCTACCTTTTTTTGCAACATGTTGATTTTGCAATTTTAGAGGTTGCATACAACACAACACTTTAATCTCCATTATGCCATTAAACCATATTCTAATTCACTTTGATTTCACAATTTCTTTGAATATATCAATTTAACTTGCTTCTAAATACACACATTTCTTGAACAAAATGACTTTATTCTACCTAGTAGTAACCAAAAAAAGCAAAAAAAAAATCATCATTTACTTGGTTTTACAATTTAAAAGGAAAATTATCAAAAATTAACAAGGTTTGAAAGTCAACATGACTTTGTTGGTTTTGACTTGAATAATATAATGATTACTGGAAGTGCCGGTACTTCTCAATACCAGTATCTTTTATCCCTGCTTTTTATGGTCTTTATCTCTTTATTTTCTTTATTACTGAAGATCACTCAATTTTCACATCATTATATTTTTGCAACACTTATTTTTTATGTCACTTTATCTTTTCGTTGTTTTTCTTATTCCGAAAATTATGATAATTTCATGCAGTAGGGTAGATGTTATGTGTTAAGTTTATATATAAATTTAGGATATCTTGTTATTTCACCAGATTATTGCTCTAGGCATTCCCTTTGGAAGAGTAACTAATGTCTTAATGCTTAAAGGCAAAAATCAGGTATTCAATAAACTTTAAATTCTATTCAGTATATTTCATTTTTTATGTAATCATAATAAATCACTGTCTTCCTTCTATGGAGATACTGTAATTTTTCATGATACATCTGATTATGGTTTAAACTCCACTATTGCTTTGTCCTACAAGCTCAACAAATTTTGCTGGAATATCTCTGAATTTACAGTGAATTTATTCTGTAAAAAAAATGAGAAAAGAAGCTTTCCAATAGTCTTAATTTTTATGAAAAAGAAAAGCTCTTAGTTGTTTGTAGGACAAAATGGGTATATTCTGCCACAGTGATTGTTTTGTTATTGTCTTAACTATGAGTACTAACATACTTTGTTTTAATAGGCATTCCTTGAAATGGAAAGTGAGTCAAAAGCAATTGCTCTTGCAAATTACTACAGTTATGTTACACCAACTGTCAGGTAAGAATATCTTTTCTTGTGTGCCTGTGTGTGTCATCTTATTTTATATTTATATTTTTTGGTTATTTCTTGCAGAAATCGTCCTATATATGTTCAGTATTCCAAGCACAAGGAGTTAACAACCAATGAATCCCAACATGCTCCAGGGGTAAGAGTTTTATACTATAAATTATCACACTCAACAGTCATTCATATGATACTCGATATCCTATAAAGGTTTGTTATGCCAGGTTTAATATTAAAATTATAACTGTTATGTTAATACTTCAACATTCATTTCTTAGACATTTAAAAGATAGTTTTCCTTGCTTATAAATTTAAGGTGCATTTTTATATTACAAAAGCTGCTCTTTTCATACAAAATTTACTACGACTTAGACAAACCAAGTTTATATATATAATGGAAAATAAATGGTCAATCTTTCCAGTTTCAGTTTCTTATTAACCAATTCTTGTTATCGTTATCTTGTCAGACATCCCATATATTGGCAGCAGCAAGTTCATCTGAGGTTGTAGCCGCAGCAGGAAGTGCACTGAGTGGTTTAAGTGCTAATCAACTGAGTTCCAGCACTTCTACATCAACTGCAGAGGCTGGAGGTGCTGGATGTGTCTTAAGAATCGTTATTTCCAATATTATATATCCTGTTACTCTTGACATACTTCATCAGGTAAATGATATTAAGTTTTTGTCAGGTAATCAGACATTTTTCCTTAGTGGAGGAGGTGAAGAATTGAGAAATTTCCCTGGATAAAGTCCTAATATTTTGCCCCTAAGTTTCTGCAAGCCTCTAACCGATGGGGGTAAGAACTGACCAATAAATAAACATGGGAAAAGCTTTCAAACTTCACCCACTTGTTGTGCTACTTGAGTAGTATGAAACCTGAAAATCTCGTTATAGATATTTTGACTAGATTTTGAGAAAAATGCCAATGTTTCAAGCAAATGGCATTTGGTTGTTGTTGCTGTGGTAACACATGTTGCTAGGAAACCATTATCAAACAAAACTTTGACAAACTTGACAAAGTGTTACTAATACATTTGAAGCATTCTTACCCTGCGAAGTCGTGATTTCAAAAGAGGGTGCCGCGCATGCTGTACCTCAAGCCAAAAAAACTATTTCAAGCCACCCTAATGCCTTGTTTCATGAATTGTTAGTGAAATTTTAAAAAATCTTGTGAAAGGCATACTGTATACTGGAAGGGAAGACCATACAGATATTTAGTAAATTAAATCTTAATTTGTGTTTCATTTCTTAGATTTTCTCCAAGTATGGTACAGTCCTCAGAATTGTTACATTCACCAAAAATGGTGGGTATTTTTAATTTGAAATCTGTTACATATAGTTTTGCTTTATTTGATTTAGTTTCTTGTTAACTTCAGACCAATTCCAAGCATTAGCAGAGTTTTCACAAGCCAGTGAGGCATTAAGTGCTAAATATGTAAGTATTTGTCATGTTGGCCGAATTACAGTATGCATGTTGCACAAGTCATAGTTGTCTACAGGTACTGGCTCATATGTATGCAGGGATGTTGCCTTAGCAGTGTTTCCTTTATTAAGTTCATATAATGCCACTATAAACCTTGAATCAAAACACATTTACTCAGGGTTAGCCTCATTTTAGTATCTAAATATATTCACAAATACCTGCAGGTACTAGTGAACTAAAAAATCCACAATTTCAACGTTGCAAACACTTTGTATTTTCATGGACCTTGCACGAATGCATGCAGATTCTACACAACATCAAGAAACAGCAGAGAATTTCAAACTGGAGCAAGATTACTCTGCTTATGGAGGGATTAAAGATAGTCAGTACCAAAACTAAGGCTTCTATCCAAGATCGTATCACACTTTTCTAGTATTAAAGTCTATGTTCTAAGGGGTAGCTAGTAGACTTTGCTTGATTAGTTTCCTTGTTTTTGACCCTCTTTATCTTACTCTACAACAGTGTCTTGATGGACAGAACATCTATACTGGATGCAACACGCTAAGAATAGATTTCTCCAAACTCACCAATCTTAATGTCAAGTACAACACAGAAAAAAGCAGGTAAGCCATCCCTTTTTCTTTTTGAAAATTAACTTTCCTATCATGGAAAAGCTAAGTGCACTACTTTGTCTCACTACCACAACCTAATTCGTCTACTGACACGCCTACTTTTGTCACTGTCTCCGATCCAGCACATTGCCAGTAAGGTATTTGCTGTAATACATGTAACAAAAGTAGGTGTGACAGTGAACGAATTAGGTTGTGGTAGTGAGACAAATTTTTGACGTGACGCCACAGTTTGGTGAGATCCATAGTACCTTCTGTTCCTAATTACTTTTTGCTGCTGTGACTCAAGCCTTGAATATTCTCTGTATTCTTCAGAGACTACACACGTCCAGATATGCCGCCAGGAGACGTTGATGGTGCCGCTGCTTTTTCACTCCCTGGTTTAGGTAGGTTTACAAACATTTCATGCAATTAGGATGGAACTCTTGTTTTTCCTAAAAAAAGTAAAGTAAATATTTAGGGAGGGATCAGAGTAAGTGGGGAGGGTGTAGTACATTTATGTCCCATAAACTTTGCTTGTGTGTGATGCCCCTCTGCAAAGTCTATTACCAGGCTTGTCCCTACGACCTTGAAAGGAGAGGTTGGTTTCTCTACCAATCTTAGTTATGCCATGTCTTGAAAAACTAAAATGGTGTTAAAAATAATTTTGTATTCCTGCAAAGGTGGGGGGGGGGGGGGGGTTCATTCGAAGGATCAAACCACCTCTGGTGAAGGCCTGCTTACTACTCCATGTCATGTCATTGAGAGTGGTGATCAGTTAGCCTTCTTTAAATGACAAAAGTTTGCTAAAAGACATGATGTAATTTATTTATTGTACCTTCACAAATAATGAAACGATAAAACTTTGTTACTTAGGAGACTATTTTTTCTCATTTCAGGTAATGCGTCCAGTGTGCTAGGTAATCCTGCAGCACTGTTGGGCCTGCCCATGGGACTCCCACTAGCAAGTAAGTACTATAAACACAGTTTAGTGTAGTATGTAATCACTGATGAGATATCTATTTTTCTCCATTACTAAAAAGTCCCCCTAAAAGAACAGATTAGATATCTGTAAATTTTATAGACTATGCAATGAAACATGTATTAATTAATATATTAGCTTCTGTAAATGGCATGGAATTGTCACTTCTTGATACAGTACATACTACAGTGAATTACAGTGAAGTTGCCTGTGAGTTCATTGGCCTGGAGTCAAGCTGCCTGGAGTTGTGATTCGGCCCCCCATAATGTATGGTTCAGTTGCACGGAGTTCATAACTTGTCAAACCAGTAAACGCTTTTTTACTCCGACGAAGGACTAGCGTCTCAATCTTCAGTATGATTTGCCTTTTCATCATTACTGTTTCATTAGAAACACCGACGCAGCTCACACTAGTTTTTAGCTAGTTATATCTTCTTAACGCAAATATAATTTATTTAGCAGTAGTAAAGCTTTATAAAACTCCTAGCGACTGAACCATACATTACAGGCGACCGAACCAGGACTCAGGGTGACTTTACTCCGGGCGACTGAATTCATGGGCGACTTCACCGGATTCCACTACAGTAGTTATATTTTAGACCCCTGATTCTTTATTCTTAGTTCTCCACATTAATGTAGTATGCATAGTCATGAATCTTCCTTTCCTTAGATGTTTCTCAGTGTTCATAGAATAGATCATCTAAGAGAAATTGCTAACTACAGCAATATAGTAGCTATATTTAGATCCCTGTTTCTTTATTCTTAGTTCTCTCTATTCTTAGTTAAGGAAGTATGCCTAGTCATGAATCTTTCTTTTTTTAGATTTCATCAGTGTTCATAGAATAGATCATCCTAGAGAAATTGCTAACTGCATTCAGTATAATGTTATTGTTCTCTGTCACAGATATTTCTATGGCTGGAGTGAATCAGAGGTACCAAGGAGGCAGCCCACTGGTACTTGTGAGCAACTTGAATGAAGAGGTTAGTGATTACAGCAGTCAGTCCTACATCACCTTAAATAGAACTGTTTCACTTCAAATATATCTATTTTCAAGAGAAGAATATTGAAGATACAAATAATTCAATTTGATTTCTGTTTCTAAAATGAAGATTCTGGTACTTTTGTATTGATAAAAAGTATTAGTAGTCGCTTTCACAGTTGTCTGTGCCATTTGAAAGGGTATCTGTGCCTGTGCATCACATATAATGGCGGTAATAAACTTGCAGTGCTAGAGACGTGAATTATAATATTGTCCAAGGTTAAAAAAGGTTTCTTTTCAAGATATAAACTACGAAGGGACTTTTGGATTTTTCTTCTAATTTTCATCATTCACACCTTTTTAAAGCTTTTTCAAAGCATTTCTAAGAGGGTTTGTTCATGTTTTTTCATTTTGTGTGCAAAAATCAAGCTCTTCACACCCTCTTCACTACAAATTTCTGTCATTTATACTTCTCATTGTGAATTTTACTCATTATTCCTCATTATTTCAATGCATGTGCACATAGCATTGTTGTGTTTTCAGTTTTTATTTTGACTTTGTTCTTTTTAGGTTAATAACTTTAACTCTGTCACTGAACTTTGTGTGTCTTTTCTCTTTTTCATTGGACGCTGCGGYGTGGCATTCCTACTCCTATCTCCTCCTTCCTGGTACTCCCTCTCTAGATGATTACCTGTGATGCACTTTTTACTTTGTTTGGTACGTCTCTCTCTTAATCTTTCTGCCACTTGCTAAATCCATACATGACTTGATAACTCGATATAAAGATTATTAACTCAATCTATTTGTTTTTTGTTGGGTATTTTGTATCTTTGTGTGGGTGCACAGAATCTTGCCACCAGTCGTAAACACTGTACATTGCTCTCAGTGGATTTCATTAATATATATATTTTTTCATAATAACTATCATATACACACCCAATAGACCTTTCCCGAATTCACTTGGATAACCATAAAACAATGGTTACAAGTCGTAACTGAGCTTGATTTTTTTATTCATCATGTCCAATCTCGACTTGAAGCCATTGTTTAGTGGTCATTCAAGCGAATTCGGGAAAGGTCTATTGCAAAATCATTGTCGTGTTTAAAATGTAGGACATAGAAGCTGTGACCAAACGGTATGCCGGGAAATGACATAACTGTCCTCAATGTATTATTTGAAATACACGGTTCGATGCGAAACACGTGTTTAAAGCCTTCATGCTTTATGTCAGTGCAACAATTCTACAAGTTATATCACTAGATACATCTCAGTAACAATCTTCCCTCATGTACCATTTTTGTCTTGGCTTCTATGTTCTGTGTAAGCCCAACAATAATTTTGTAATTGAGTGTATACATTAATTTCATACATGCAAGAAATGGCCTGTTTAATGAGGGGGGGGGGGGGTGTCCAACATTGGAGCAGATTTCTCATGGATGAAAAATACATATGGCACTGTGATTCTAGAATGGTTGCTGCTTTAAATCAGTCTGTGCTTATAAGTCCCTTGCTTTAAATAGTCACATACTGATATATCACTTGGATTTAATAATGTAATAATAAATAAATAATAATTAAATTCATGTCCCTTGGGGAACTCCTTTGCCGAAATAGAACCCTTGCAGTATGTCGGAATGCAGCTCAATTTGGAGGACATTCCAATTCTCAAGAGATTGAAATTCTTTTGTTTTGTCCTCCAAATTGACCTGCTCTGAAGTCACATGCAAATGGTCTGTTGAAAGTGATGTATTCCAGGAAAATACATTGTGGCCATGATTGATAATTGGTAAGAGTTGTTTTAAGAGAATATACATCCTGCAAAGAATCTATTGCTCTTACAAATCAGCAAGCCATTTTAGAGTCATTGAATTGTATCATTCCCTCATACCAGAGGGTTTTTTATCCTGGCCATAGGGATTCAAAGGGGTTACTTATTTATTATCTAATTGGCTAGCCTTTAGAGTTCGTTTAGCTTGACAACTCTATCACATAGAGTAGTCCCTGAAGATATCCATATACAGTAATTGCTATCATAGGAATCCCCATTTTGCTCACATGACCCTAACCATTAGAAGTTAAATAAAACTAAACTCAGAGGGAGGGAAGTATATTTGAGTATCTTTTCTCTTGCCATGCTATATCTTCTAATCATGATTGTAGGTTGCTATGGTGATGTGCAACGTGTAAAGATTCTATTCAACAAGAAAGATACAGCCCTCGTACAGTTTTCTAATGCCCAACAAGCACAGACATGTAAGTAAAGCCACTATAACAACAATTAGTACTATCACATATTAAATCTTTCTAAATCCTCAAGATGTTTCTTTGTGAACCGCCATATATATATATATATTTTTTTTTTTTGAATTTGGTTTTGGGGCTGGTACTGAGGAGGTGGGGCATATCAGCATGATGCTAAAGAGTTCAAACATAGCCTTCAAAAAACCAAGTCATATTTACTATTATTGTAGGCTTAATCCTTTTAGGCAATGTTTCTAATTACACATAACATGTCTTTAAAAGTGTCATTTTATCATATGGTAGCCTTATGGGTGACAAAAGAATTAATTTTTGATGGAATCTTTAACAAATATTGCTTGGCTTCAAATCATCTACAATCTGGATCTGGATCAAATTGATTTTCAGCTATCGCCCATCTGAATGGAGTACGTGTTTATGGCAAGGAAATAAAAGTTACTGTATCTAAGCATTCGTCTGTCTCTCTACCAAAGGAAGGCGAGGTAAGAATTAAAGGTTATTTGAATCAGAATATACCATTTCTGAATTCCGAATTACTGCTGTGTTCCTTGATTACACACTCATTTGACTCGATGTCTAAATATTTATAAATATCAAGGGTATAGTGAAGAATGCACAACTTCAACAATGCAAACACTTTTGAATAATTCCACAGACCTTTGCTCAAATGCATGAATATTCTGCACAAAGTCGAGGCTAACCCTGAGCAACAGAGAACTCGAAACTGGAGTATTGCTACGCTTCTACTAAGTACAGCAGCAAGAGAATAGAACCTTTACCATAAACCCAGTGTGAACTCAATCTGAAGTGCTTCAATGTGAGACTGCATGTAAGAATATCTCTGGCTGCTACTAATACGGCTACCATTTCATGAAAGGTCCATTGCCGTGGTCTTTCTGGAGTAGTGCTCCCACGAAATTTTTTCCGGTGCTTCCTAGAGGTTCATGAAAATTCCCTTTAGATTTGGGCCAAAATTATGAATTATGGATGTTTTAGATAATTGTCATTTGGTTTTGATTTCAGGATAATAATCTGACCAAGGATTACAGTAATTCACCATTGCATCGATTCAAAAAACCAGGATCCAAAAACTTCCAAAATATTTTCCCTCCAAGTAGAACACTCCACTTATCAAATATCCCGTAAGTATTACCATTGTCATACTCATTCCACTTATCAAATATCCCGTAAGTATTACCATTGTCATACTCATTCCACNCCACTTATCAAATATCCCGTAAGTATTACCATTGTCATACTCATTCCACTTATCAAATATCCCGTAAGTATTACCATTGTCATACTCATTCCACTCTGTTAATCTTCTCCTTTTTTATTCTCGTTTGTTCCTTTTATCCTTTTCATTCTTTCCTGTTTTGATTCCATTAGTGAGGGCGTCACAGAGGAAGAATTAACCGCACACTTCAGTGAGGCAGGGGAAGTCACAGATTTCCGATTCTTGCCGTAAGTAAAACCTAATGTTGGCTCTTTCAGGTATCAAAGCACAGTATGTACATGTAATTCAATATAAATAAATAAATAAATAAATAAATAAATAAATAAAACAAAAACATACCCAAGTTATACAATAAAGAGAAACGAAAAAATGAATATATTAGGGTCTATTTAGGTACATATAGAAGGACCCCAAATGTTTGTCAATTTTAAAGGAAAAATACAAGACCATTGATTAACGTCATGGTTTTATTCTTGATATTAGGAAAGATCATAAGATGGCTCATCTGACAATGGCATCACCAGAAGAAGCCATTGATGCACTAATAGTAAGTACATTGTTTAGTAGAGATGGGTGCTTCTCTCCATTCATTTATAGTGTCTCATGGTCGCTGGATTTGTGGTATAACAAATATCCTGCACAGAACTTCTACAGTCATAGACTARGCAATAATTAGTGTCCGCCCCAAGTAAAGTTACCTCGCATCCGCCATACGAAATCTGTTTTAAATAACATTTTTTTTCGGTTTACAGAAAATGCATAACTACAAGATCAGCGAATCCCATCATCTTCGAGTGTCTTTTGCCCGATCATCCAACTAAATTCATCATTGATATTTTTTGTAGACTTAAGGTTATCAGTTGACTCCACATCACTAACATAATTCTAGATTTGTTGGACCTATATAGACCACCCCATCAATACACATTTCGTACACTCATTTTCCTCTACCTTAAAAAAGCTCTATATACATCTGTTCCTTGAAATTATATTTTGCATTCATACTACTTTAACCTGAGCTCCAGAGGCTCTAATGCGACAGACGAAGCCTACGACCAAGAAGCACTGCATCGAGAGAGCCTCTGAGACCCAGGGTAATACTACCTCCATTATCCTTTGCAAAATTTAATTCACTGATTACTGGCTGTTAAGCGAGAAAAACTTTAAGCTACTTGTGTGCAAAGCAAGATTCAGCTGAAAAGTTTCGATGTTTAACATCCTCTCCTTGTGAGACGTTGGCGAGAGTTTCATAGAAGAGTAGAACTAGTTTATACTTGTGCGTGCTCCTGAAACTTGTGTTGCACGGCTTTCACTGTGAAACACGCCTTTTACAGACAGCGCTTCTCAATGACGTGCGAAATCGTGTAATTTGCCGTCGCGACAAAGTAGTTTTTAGTGGACGTCAATCAAGTCGTTTCCATGACATTCTCTAGCCATGAGGTACTTGAAGGCTTTGTGTCTCCTGACAGTGCCATGGAAACGAATTGATTGACTATCTTACCGCAGCAGAAAATTGTACGATTACACGTATGACTGAGAAGCGATGTAGTATCGATATTGATGAGATAAGTATGTTTTGTTTGCACATTTTGCTTGTTGTTTGACATTTCACTAACTTTTGTCGTTTTTCGATTTATTTCAAGTTACTTTTATTAGGTTTCGTTTGAAAATCAAGTTCTAAAAACTTGCTTTGTTCATTTTATCTCGTTGATACATGGACTTTTCTCACAATGCGACCAAATTTTAAAGTAGCTGTTAACCAGTGCATATGTTATCAGCAATATTTAGACTCGTTCCTATCAGCCAAATTTCTTAATTTTTCTTTTGAACTAGAATACTTCGATTAAATTGCCAAAAAGAAATGATTTGGAAAATATAACGTTTCAGTTTCAAGATGGTCGCGCTGTCCCAAAGTCCACCTGTTTTCCTCAATGTTGCCCGTTTAAGCCTGGTTTTCACTTGCGACGGAATCCGGGTCGGAAGCGCGTCGGCTTGTGCTTGCGGTTTTATGCAATGCACGAACTGCTTCCGACTCTTTTGCGAATGAAAACAACGCTTTAGACGTCTAAAGAAAATGGAACGATTTTCTAAGATAGGACAACATTGATTGATTATAGCAAAATAATGTTCGGTTTGTTAAATAGCGATCTCTTTAAATAAGCGTTGTATTTTTAGGCGGCCATGATGCCTGTATCAGTTTCAGTAATGAATATGACATTTTTATAATGAATAGCACGATTGTGATTTGCTTTTTCACGCTTATATATGAACATGTAAAACACTATATTCTAGACGTCATTTCATACTATCAAAATAAAGAAACTATTTCTTATAACGACTTGTAAGGAGTGTTCATTACCAATCAATAGTCCTCTTTCGCATTTGATGGGTTCCAGTTGTCGTCATCTTTTATAGATTTCCATTTAAAGCTCACAGGATTTCATGGCATTCACAGATTGGGTTAGTAGGCTAATACACATTAAGCTATGGACACAGTGCAACATTTTTATGCACAATGTTGCAGACAATCGATGAATGTCGCAGGATGCAGTTTGTTGCAAGCAATAATAATAATAATAATTGAGAAATGTTTTCTGTAATGTTGTGCGCAATGTTGAACTGTGTCTGCCTTTAGAAAACAGTAATTCTATTTTCTTTTTTATGTCGTGTCTACCTGACTTCTGTTCTTCATTTTTGGGTGCCCAATAACCAAGATAAGAATACAAGGGAACCATGGTTATATGGCTTCATTTTATGATACCCAATAACCAAGATAAGAACAATAGTTTCTTATTCTCAGGAGATTAGAATCCTTTTGTTTTATCCCCCAGATCGAGCTGCTATGAGGTCACATGCAAGGGGTCTATACAGCTTTTTGAGCTTGATGAATGCTTCGTTACAAAAATTGTTACATACCAAGCCCGAAAGACAAATGCACAATGGCCCAATTCAAGTGAATTCGATCAGTGAAAGGAATTGCCCTAAACTTTGTTCACACATTTTCCAGGCATATATTTTTTGAAAACCGAAAAACAAATTCACAACAAATCGAGTTAAGTAGAGAGTTTATTGTCTATAGATTTACCCTTTTTAACCAAATATTTGTTTAAAGATTATAGTTTACTCCAACAAATAAATCACAGGAAAAAACGAAATGGCTCACAATCAAGGATTTTATCTTAGGTAATAATACTATCTGCTTTTTAACYAGTTTAAAGAGACTGGCGCACAGATTTTTGGGGTTAAATATTTAGGAAAACAAGATGGAGGAATCCAAAAACGGCCCCATAATACAATACGGAAAACATACATTTCCAGTCTTCTTTGAGTTTAAATTCTAACCAATCAGATTACTATTTCAGAAATATTACTAGGGTTTTTGTAGTCTTGGATTGTCTTATCCACTGAGAGAAGACGCCAGGAAAGCTACTCCTCGTTCGTAGAACCGGTGACCACGTCCTGAAGGTTCGCCCTGAGTTTTCATGTCTAGAGTAAAAAGCAGTTCGGTTCTTGACTGGTTCAGGTACACTGGAAGGGTCACCTGTAAAAGACGTTTCGCATATAAGAAAGCTATTTACTGAATTCAAAAACATGGTGTTCCCCTATGTTAGCGGTGTTGTGAAAAGAAATCACTGAGAAATCTCTTGCTAACTAGCGTAACGTGCAAAATTCCTATAGGCTAAAGTTTTCAAACAATGTTGTACAACAGTTTGCATTACAGTGCATTGTGGGAATTCTACGCCATTTTGAAAATATGTTCCCTAACACAGTCCCACAATGCACTGTAATGACAGCTCGACCAGTTTTTCCTCAATCTCGGAATGGCTAATTATTTGGAATGTTCTCCATTTTACTTTTCACACGCTTCAGTCATTTTCAGACGCCAGTTTTTCATACCCTCATTTCATCAGCCGTTCATGACTAAATCAAAAATTAAGCATTTTCGGTAGAAGAATCTCAGAACTTACCATGTTACTTGGAGTAGAAGCCTGGTCAGATGGCACTCTGCAAGAAGTAATGGAATTCCGTTAGCATCTCCTAAGAGAAGGTGATATTATGCAAGGCCTCGAACGACCTGGAATATGTTGGTTTTGTACGTACTGCCTCACGCCTCACCCAGCTGTTATTAGTGTCGGCACCAGCCCTCCCTAACAGAGGGGCAAAAAACAGCTGCGCGGGAGACTATGCCCTGCTTCAGGAGTATCATTTATTATTGTTTAACGGTTGTACATGAGAAGACACATCAATAAGGATACAACCAAAATAAAGAATATTATTTTCAAGAAAATGACACATGGTCTGTAATGGGAAAACACATTACGCCTAAGGCAAAGAGGTCTATTTTAAATATTTGTACGACGAGTATGACAGATTTCTGTAAGTGAGGTATACTAGTGTTACAATGGGGAAGAGGACGTTGCAACCCACCTGTTCCACTTGAGACTGGTTAATGCTAGGTCAGTCGAAATGGAAGTGGACAGCTCAAGTTGATTGTTATAACACTTGGAACCTTGTAGTTTGAGTCCTAAAAGGAGATTAAAAAACAGGTTATCTAAACCGGTATAAACTAGTCTGACGTCACACGAAAAGTGAAGTATTACCGGTAACGCCAAAGCTGCAGTCATCCATTTTCAGCTTGTCATCTGGACCGTTGGCGATGGTTACCTGGGGAAAAAAGAGTAATTTAAAAGAAGAGTAATTTAAAGCCCTGTTACTCAAGGCAATTTTTTAAGCAACGAAAAGAGCATTGCAAGTTACAGCCAGTGAGATGTTAAATGTGCGCAACTCTCTTTGCAACTTGGAACATAGCGCTTCATTAGTCTGTGATTAAACCGAGTATGTCAGCAGGGATAAGAAAGAACTGCGCTTTGGTTGGTTATTTGCGACAGTGATTGATTTGCAGTTTGTGGGATATTACACGCTGTAATTTGTAGAACTTCGTTCAACTTTTTCTTCAACTTACAACGTTGCACTGCAAGTCGCAAATGGGGGTGTTACACACGCGATCACTTCTGCAACTTGCAATGCAATGACGTTAAATTGCAAGCTGCAAGAAAAATTGCATCGTGTAACAGGGCCTTCAGACTGTCGCGATATGACTAAGGTCAGAACAGCGTTATAATGCGAAGACTAATATGGTCGAGATACTGTCATTACAATAAAATGATCAAGACACTAGTTTTTACAATACCGACACTATGATCATGATACTGTCACGCCAACTACAATAACGACACTGTCATGACAGGTCACGCTCATGACACAGTCTGTGGTGTATACTCACCTCTAGGGCCAGCTCTTCCAGTGACCAGTTGTTGGCTTGTGCTACGTACTGACGAGTTGCTGTAATGTAGGCCTCTGGTACAAACATACCTCCCAGCCAAATGTGAAGGTTCTAAAAAATATATATAGAACTTAATTTACTCTAAAATTAAGCGTAAAATATGTCCCTAATTACTTCATAGCGTATCAGTAGTGCATTTCATAGTGCATGATAGATGTTTTTACGTGCAATAAGTTAATCAACCCCTCACCTTAAGACCTTTAGCTCCACCAGCGTTGGCGGCCTGCGAGACGGTCTGCAGTTGTTTGACACGATCACTGAAGTCTACCACCCACTGAAGAACAGTGAGCTCCTTGGGAACCGTGTAACGACGCCAGTCTCGAGGGAGAATACCTGCAGGTCAATGAGAATATAATATAATGATATAGATATGAATAGAGAGCAACGAATAAACGAGGCAAATTAATCAGAGCAATTTAAGCCTAGGTAAAGCAATAGGTAAAGCAAATAGGTATAGCAAGAAAAGTAAAACCAGGCAACTTAAATCGTAAGTGGAGAACTGGCGACGGTGTCCGGAGAGGCGAGGTCTAGAGAGATAAGCCATGGAAATAAAGCAGGAAACAGCAAAAAAAAAAAAAAAAAGGAGTGGTGCAACAAAAGATCCAAGCAAGGGGTTCAGCAGCAGCTGGAATGATGCCGAGAGTACCCAAGAAAGCAGGAAGTACATATACACACCATTAATCTCGTTACTATTAATTATATTTGCTTTGTCACTGTTTTTAATTCATAACAAATAAGATTGGCCGTCATAAGTTAAATCTTTGTTACTGTTATGTTGGATTGCCTTACCTTTAGCCAGATCACTCATTAAATTCCGCAGGTAGTTGGTTGGTTTCTTCTGAGCCTCGCACACCAAGATAGTATCGTTTAGGTTTTGCCTGACAGTGTTGAGTAGAGCAATACCAGTGTTCACCTCACGCTCGAAATACCTGAACAACGGATCCTTGATGTTATCCAATGTTCTCTTGAGTGGATTGATTATCTAGAAACATAGGAATAACGGTCATTTCATTTTTGGGCTTCCTGTGGTTGCGCCCACAAGGCATTGTGGGCCTTTTAACTTATATACAAAAAGTTTGTTACACGTTTGTACTTCCGGGAAAAATCAATAAGTTTTTTTTCTTGTTATCAACTTAACTGCATTAGTGCAATGCATCCCTTCTTATGTCAACAAGACCAAATATTTTGTCAAAGTCGACCAAAATGACGGCAATGTAACGTCACGTCAAAGGCCCAAGATTTTTAATGTTTAACTTCCTTTTTTAGTATTTTAAGACAATATTATCGCTCTAATTAGCAGACCTAAAGTGATTGTCGTAAATACCTTAGGAATCATGCTCAACCAGTTAGCAGCACTAGTGTGCAATGTTCTCATCCATTGTGGGCGGGGATCACTCTCTCTTCTCTTCTGCCTGTAAACCATTAATAACAATGGATTAGCTGAATCCATGGACTATCAGGCTGCGTTTACAGAGTACCAGACGAATTTTTAACCGGGTCAAAAAGTTGTACATTTGGGGTTCCGTTCACACGGGCGTTTGAGCTATCCAAACGAAAAGCCATGCAAATTTGAATCCAGTTCCGTATAAACAGAACGTATTTCTTACACAATTAAAGGAGACGGTTCCGTGTAAACGGTATGTACAGTTCAAATGTTTGACCTGTTAAAAATCGAGTACCGTGTAAACGCAGCTTTCGCGTTCGATGGACATGTCATAGTAATTATAAGGTTTTTTGATTTTCATGCGTATGGATGACAACTTGGCTGTTGGGGAGATGGACGTGACAAACGTTTGTATAGAGTAGTATGACGTAATGCTTTACTGTTTTGCTTGTTGTTTTGCACAGTGTCCATGGAAACCCTAAACGCACGATATATGACGTCAGTTTTCTAAATCTTCTCCGTCAAAAAAACCCTTCCACTCCAAGTCGTTTTTCGCGTTTTTTTTATAATTTCAATCAAATTATTTCTGGACTTTTAATGTAAACAAAAACAAAAAATTTTGTTCCTTGAACGTAATGTTCTTCCCATTTCAACCCTAGGAATGAACAGTCCATATTTTAACATCTTCTTAAGCGTTGCTTTTTTTAAAAAAATAGCTCTCAAGGAAACGAAACTTGAAATGGAAAAAACATTGCGCCAAAACAAAAATTTAATCTAAATTATCAAAGGAGCTTTAAATCTTTATCATGTTCAATACATGTCATTTAAGTGTGTTCACTAGTCTGTTAGCTGACGGACAGACAGCCAGACAGACCGCCCGACTGACTTACTCATCTAGAAGACCTTTGCTTAATGATGTAGGTACGTTGAACAGTTCTTCTGGTCTTTAGAGGCAAATGGTAGTGTATTTTATGGTCAGTAGGTACTTAGTAAGTAGAGCGATTTTAGGAGAATAAGAAACACGCAGTTTAGAGATGAGTTTTCGGATTAAAATAGCGTTAAATTGAGATCGAGTTTAGGAGTTTAGAAGTTCATTTTTTAAGGTTATTCAACGTTGAGGAGGTTCAATTACGAAGTCAATAGAACTGATCAAGAAGAATAAAATGTTTATTTTTCAGATTCAACTTGAGGGAATTAGATTATTAAGTTTAGAAATTCAGTTCTTGTGATTTGAGTTCTTGAACACAAAATGGTTATTAAAATCACTCGAATTAAAAGGACCACGGAGGGGGGTGGGCTGAGGGGCTATAGTCCCTCAATAATTTTGCTGCCATATTTTGAATCAAAACACTAACAAGAATTGTTTAAAACTGAGATTATTTTAGAAAGTTAAGTCCACGTTTAGAAATTAATTTCTGAGATTCAAGTTTTGGAATACACTTAGGAACATTAATATTTCCAAGGTTTAAAATAATGCAGATCATGTTCTGAAGTTCATTTCCGAGAATAAGCCTTGAGAAACTCAGGATTTAAACCATCAACGAAGAATTCAAAGTTTAATTTGAGAATTATAATGTTAGAAATCAAAAAATAATCCAGTTTTTACTTCTGATTTACTTTACTTGGAACATAAAGATTTCATCGAGAAACGTTCAAAATCTTGTTATTATTATTATCATTATATTTTGGTTATACCAGATCGATTTCTGTAGTACAAATTCAGAGAAGTCGGAAAATAAGTGGTTGTAGGACAAAAACTAGTAAAATCTGTCAGTTTAGTCGCTGAAGTCTTGTGTTTGTAAATCCAATATCAAATATTCCTGAATGTAGTCTGTGTGAGGTTTGAAAATGAAAGAGTTGGAGAGATGAACGGTGAATAATGAATAAGTCGGTAAAAAAGGGGTGAACAGTTGATAAACAGTTAGTGATTATTATTATTAGTTTTTTATATTGGAATGTTATTATAGAATTGAAAAAAATAAGAAGCAACACAAATCAAGAAAAAATTAAATAAAGTTACAGAAACAAGTAAAAAAGTAATAAATAAAAGACAAAAATTGAGAAAAGAATTCCATTTCGTTTAGAGAAAAAAGGTTATGAAATGAGATATTATTTTGATAAAAGTAGTTTGGAAAACATCTTTGACATTAACGATATTTTTTGAATGAAAATTAGGATTAAAAAGAAAAAATTGAGAAACATGAAAACACAAGCAAAAATTCAAAATGAAAACAAATCTGAGAAAATAAAAATAACATAACGTTAATTTAACAAATTCATTAAAAACAAAAAACAATAAAACGAAAAACAAAACAAAATTTTTTAAATAAAACTTTTTAAAATCAAATGTTTTGGTCAGTTACGATGTATGTTCGGTTTATTAAATTGAGTGTCGTTACAAATAAGTTTTTACTGCTTCCCCCTCCCCCCCAAATTATTTTCCTTCTCAAGGGCATTGGTGTTTTTCTTTTGGCCACACTGGGGTCACCATTTTGTTCACGTGGTTCGGCACTTTCTGACAGTAAATTTTAGCCGTCCTTCGAGTATGAATGATTAATGATAAATAATAAATAAGACATACCTTGCCGCGTCAGGGGAGTAAGCCAGCTCGTCATCATCACTCAGCATCTGCATCTTCAGCAGCTTGGCGATCAGGTCTTGTCCTGGTAGTCGCGGAATAAAGGAATAGATGAATGAATGGATGGATGAATGAACGAATGATAATCAAGCACTCCAAAAAGCTGATAAATTCTGTCCCGGATATGATCATACCTCGCTGGGTCAAAAGAAGCTTCTCTGCATTATTGGGTAATCCAAGCCAAGATGGCGTCTGTGTGTCTGGAAGTCTCTCCACCCACTGAAAGAACTGTTCACGTCTGAGAGATACAATAAAGAAAAAATATATCATGGGTTGAGCAAACATTGCATCAAAAAATTCAATACATTTTATTTGAGAAGTCAAAGACGGGTTGATAATAAATGAAATAATGGGATAAGAGAAACATGCAAAAATGGGATGGGATGAGACAGACCTGATTCCTTCTGGCATGATAATGTTTTTTCCTTTCCCATTCACATCGATGACTAAAGGGAAGTCAGGCTCAAAGCTGCTTGCGATGAATAGACGGTTCACAAACGTGGTCAGAAGACGCTGTCAACGAAATAGGAGGACTATTAGTGATGGTAGTGAATAGCGCTGATGGACGAATTATCTAGTCTCCCCCACAGCCACTTTCAGTGTCGTCACGCAACGCTACCTCCCCTGAGTAGCTACTCAGGAGAGAAAGCGTTGCGTGACGACACTGAAAGCGGCTGCGTGGGAGACTACGAATTATCTGGCTTTGCAGCTGAAAGTGAATAGACCTATCCCGAATTCGCTTGACTGACCACGAAACAATGGTTTGAAGTTGAGACTGGATTTGATTCTTTTATTCATCAAGTTCAACCTCGACTTCAAACCATTGTTTCGTGACCAGTCAAGCGAATTCGGGATAGGTCTATTACCGTAGATTTACAATGCGTGTATGAAGATCGAAATGAAGAACGAAAAGGTGTGGAAATCCTGATATTGATGATGACAATGATGGATGGGAATAATGGTGAATGTCGATAATGATGTGAAAATGGTAAGACATTTGGTACTCATAAACTGAACAAAAGAAAGTGTGCAAGGGATTATGGTAGAAGTAGTTAATGACGCAATAATGTAAATGTCCTATTACAAGTCTAAACGATATTATAAATAAAGATGTGCGTTGTCGTTGCTGTTGTGAGTCGTTCCTTCATAATAGACGTCATTCGTGGTGTAACAATGTTTTCTCAATTCAGCGTGACGAACCTCCAGAGGATTCATTTTCTTTTGTTTTTACTCTTCGAAAAAATCATGAGTATCCCAAAGGATACGAAAGGAATAACGATGATATCCCGACCAGTTTCAAAACAAGGTTTGCCACGTTCAATTGGGGGGGGGAGGGGAGTGTCATGCCACAAGCGTTGGTGATGATGACCACCAATATTAAGCACAGAGTGGCGCTTA